GAAAAAACATAAGTCATCAAATCGGTCTTAAAAACCGAAGGAAGGGGAGGGGAACCGCTCTTAATTTCTGGCCACATTTATTATTATTTCCCACGAGAGCATTTCTAATCACCATCAGCGATTTTCACGGATTTTGTTGCCATTTATCGATTTTTGTCGAATCTGACAGCGATTTTTTGGGGGTTTTATTTTGTTACAATCTATAAATTATAAATGTTTATTTTGACAGGAATAACGAATCTAGACCGATAGCCTATTTTTTTCCTCGTCTTAATGGAATGGCTGCGGCTGACATAAAGGCTTGTGTGTATGGAGACGAACCCCCCCCCCCCCCCCAAGAGGCGTCGCAGATCGTCGTAAATCAATTTTGATTACCACACACAGTTTAATCATGTTAACTCCCTACAAAATCTATTCCTAGTTCTGAAATGGCTGGTTTCAATCTTGATTTAACACATAAGTACCTTCCCTCCAACCATTCTGCTCCACGAATGAGTTTTATGTGATACTGCAGTAAAAAATTCTTTACGCAACTTATTGTCAAATAATTCCTCAACTATTGAACATCAAAAATCTTGGTTTTGCACTATGACTTGTGTCAATTTGTCTTAATAAATCAATATTTTTGTAAACTCATGTCAGCTGTATTCTTTAAAAAATATTAATAAACACTAATTAAAAACCCTAGCGAGTGGCCTCTACAGATTTAAAAAGATTTTACCGTACCTTCTTCGGGTATTCAGGCGTTCCGTGGATGCGCAAGATATCTGGCCCTCCGTTCTGGTCTCTGCTTGAGAGACCCAGGACATCCCTGTAGGCGTCATAATACCTGGGCACCGCCAACACTTCCTTCACGACCTCTACCTCAGGGGGAATATACTTAGCTTCCTTCTTCCCAAAATCAAACAAACTGTCGCTGAAAGGGGTGTAAGGTTTGAACCCTGCCGCCTCAGAACCTGGGCTCCACAAACGGTGTTTGTTGTGTTCAATATTCACGCCAGAGTTCCCTCCAGACTTCTCACGTGATCCTAGCGTTACCGTGGCAACGCCGTCTTTAGCCCCACCCCTTGCAATGTCACCGGTGTCGTACTGGAAAGAGCCAATTTGTGACTGGTGGGCCGATGACACCGAACTTGGCGTGGAGGCGGGCTGGACGTTTTCAGGCACCAGTCCCTTGCCATATTCGGCCATGAGACGGAGTTGGCTATCAAAGTCGGAGTTCTGTTCAGCTGCTGCTGGTTTCTCTCGGCCCTGAAGAAAACAGAAGCATTGGATGATTTTGTTTCTGTTTGACTGCTTAATAATACTACATATAAAATGATAAATAGAAAGCAAAAGTTATTTAAAGGGTGGTACATATAATATAATATAGCTTAGAGGGTAGAAAATAAGAAAAAAAAGTTGGAAAAATGAAGACGAACACGCACGCGCACACACACACACACACACACACACACACACA